CACACTATACTACATATCTGATAGAATACTAGCAGGATTCTAACACCAAGCCTGCTTTCCTTACAATATGTTCTGCATATAGATGATTAGGCAGGGTGATAGGATGCAGCCTTGTCTGACCCCTTTGCCAATTGGGAACCATACGGTTTCTCCGTGTTCTGTTCTGACAGTAGCCTTTTGTCCTGAGTACAGATTCCTCATCAGGACTATCAGATATGTTGGCACTCCCATGCCTTTAAGGGCGTTCCATAGCCTTTCATGATCAAAGGCTTTGCTATAGTCTGTAAAGCACATGCTCGTTTTCTTTTGGAATTTTCTTCTGCACTCCATTAACCATCATATATTTGTGAAGTGATCCCTAGTGCCTCTTCCTTTCCTGAACCCCGCTTGGACCTCTGGGATTTCTCTCTCCATATATGGTTGGAGTCTATGTTGCAAAATTTTGAGCATAATTGCTTGCATGGGAGATTAGTGCTATAGTTCTATAGTTTCTGCAGTCTCTTGTGTCTCCTTTTTGTTTGGATGGCGAGGTATATTGATAGCTTCCAATCTGTTGGCCACCGTTTTGTTTTCCATATCTGTTGACATATGTTGGTCAGCACTAGAGTTGATTTTGTCAATGTGGATTTCAACAGTTTTATTGGAATATCATCTGTTCCTGGAGACTTGTTTTTTGCTATTTCTTTTATTGCAGCTTCCACCTCAATTTTTAGAATTTGGGGTTCATCTTCATATGGCTCTTCACTCCATGTGTCCTTCATATTGTCATCTTTTTTGTATAACTCTTCTGTGTATTGCATCCAACATCTTTTTATTCCTTCCTGGTCTTGAATTATGTTATTTTTATTTTAATAGAGAGTCCTGGTCCTTGGTTTGAACTTTCCTTTGATTTCTCAAATCTTATGGAATAGGTCTCTCCTTCTTCCCTTTTTGTTGTTGTCTTCTATTTCTCTGCATTGGTCATTGTATCAATTTTCCTTATCTTTGCGCACTAGCTGTTGTACTGTTGTGTTCATGTTTCTTAGTTTATTCCTATCTCCTTTTTGTTTTGTTTCCCTTTCCTTTATTGCTTGTAACGTTTTATCAGTCATCCATGGTTTCTTCACTTTCCTTTTGTCTGTTGGAAGTGTCTTTATGCATTTTTCTTTTATTATGTCCCTGGCTTCAGACCAAAGCTCACAATCTATTATACTTAGTATGCAAATCTATTCCTTATATTGTCAGTGTTGTTTAAATTCTATTTTGGTATGATGACTGCTTTTGTTTTCTTCTTGAGTTTTACTTTTATTTTTGATATGAGTAGTTCGTGATCTGTGCCATGATCAGCACCTGATCTAGTGTTGGCCACTAGTATGGAGCTTTGCCATCTTTTACTTCCAATTATATAATCTATTTGG